TATCAGCTGCCTGTCCCAGTTAGCGAACAAAATCTGTTAATTACCTCAAAGCCCTTCAAATGACCTGCGGGGAAGAACTAGTCTTGATTATTTTCTTTTTTTTTTTTTTTTTTTTTTTTTTTTTTGGTTTGTTCAAGCTTTCAGAATGGAGGAATATTTATTTATTTATTTATTTATTTTTTTTATATCACTTTTCTTTTATTTTTTTTTTTTTTTTTATAAGTTTTTATTGTTCATATTATTACAAATGTTCCTTTCCCCCCCCCCCACCATTGCTCTCCTCCACCAGGTTCCCACCCCACCCTCTGCCCTTTCCCCTCTCCCCATTGTCCTCATCCATATGTGCACAGTTTGTTCAGTCTCTTCCCACGCCCCCCCCTCTCCCCTTTTCCCCAAGAATTGTCAGTTCACTCCCCTTCCATACCTCTGATTCTATTATATTCAACAGTTAATATTGTTCATCAGATTTTTTTAATTTCCTTGGTTTTTAGATTCACTTGTTGATAGTTACGTATTTGTTGTTCATAATTTTTATCTTTGTTTACTTTCTCTTCTGAAAGAACCCCCTTCAGCAATTCATATAAATCTGGTTTGGCGGTGATGAACTCCTTTAGCTTTTTTTTATTAGTGAAGCTCTTTATCTGGCCTTCGATTCTGAGTGATAGCTTTGCTGGGTAGATTATTTTTGGCTGTAGGTTCTTACTATTCATCACCTTGAATATTTCTTGCCATTCCCTTCTGGCCTGCATGGTTTCTGTTGAGAAGTCAGCTGACAATCGTATAGGTGCTGCTTTATAGATTACTACCTTCTTTGCTCTTGCTTCTTTTAATATTCTCTCTTTGTCTTTTGCTCTTGGAATTTTAATAATGATGTGTCTTGGTGTGGTCCTCTTTGGATTCCTTTTGTTTGGAGTTCTATGCGCTTCCTGGACTTGTAAGTCTAATTCTTTCCCCAGGTGGGGGAAGTTTTCTGTCACTATTTCTTTCAGTATGTTTTCGATATCTTGCTCTCTCTCATCTTCTGGGACCCCAATAATTCTGATGTTGGTTCGCTTAAAGTTGTCCCAGAGGTTTCTTACATTATCTTCAATTTTCTGGATTCTCTTGCCTTCTAGCTTCTGTGGAGGAGTGTCTTCTGGCTCTTTATGTTCCAAATCTTTGACTTGATTCTTGTGATCTTCCCTTCTGTTTTTAGGACTCTGTAAAATATTTTTTATTTCAGACAATGTATTCTTTATGTCTTGTTGATCCCTTATTAATTCTAGTTGATCTCTTTTCATATCCTCATAGGCCTTATCCATCTTTTCTAGGAAATTCTTGAAAAACCTTATAAGCGTAGATTTGAACTCTATATCCAGACGCTTTTTGTCCTCCATTTCTTTCGTTTGTGATCTATTTTGTTGTCGCATTTCGCAGGTACAGATGGGACGGGGTTTCAGGGTGGAGCCTGCAGCTTTGGCTTCCGTCAGCCCCGCCCTATGCGGGTCCTTCAGTGCTCGCTGCTGCCGGCGCCTCTGAGAGAAAGGTGCCCTCGATTTTCGCCTGCTGCCAAACAGTCTATGCTCTCCCCCAATGAGCACGGTATTGGGGTTCAGTTCAGTTGGAAGTGGAGTTGGAGGTGGCGTTCAGAGCAGTCTGGAGCCCCAGTCTCCTTCCCGTCAGGGCAATCCCGCGGCACAGCCGACCGTCCCTTCTCTGTGCGCAGTGTGCGCACCGCTGGGACCTCCTTTCGCCACTTCCCCGGGGTTCCGCCTTACAGCCCGGCTCCCTATGGCTGAGCCTGAGTCCCTGGGGTCTGGCTTAAAACTGGGGTCCAGAGCAGTCGGGGGCCCAGCACAGTCGGAGTTTTGTCTCCTTTCCGCTTGGGAACGCCCGTCAGGCACTCGGCCTCCCTCCTCTCCGGCTCCGTCCTCTCCGCGCGCTGCGTCTCCGTACCTTGGGTTTTTCCAGCTCCTCCGCGCCTCCTTCTGGTTTTCTCCTTGCTTCTCACTGTAGAATTTCCAGTCAGTCAAGCTTCCTGTAGTTCTGGGCAATGTCCGTTTTATATTTTAGTTGTATTTTATTGAAATTGTTGTGTGCGGCTGCGGCTAGGTGTTCACCTGGGCGCAGCCATCTTGGATCTCCTGAGTCTTGATTATTTTCAATCTATTATTTTCTACTTTAAAAAATACAATAAAAAGGAATTATTTGAAAAATGCTAAATTACAAATTCACTTTTATGTTATAATTAACACATATAAAAGTACTCTGACAAATGCCATTTGAGTTTTTAATTTATTGATGAGAAAGAGAGAGAGAGAGAAACATCGATTTGTTGTTCTACTTTATTTGGTTGATTCTTATACCAGGTATGTGCCCTGACCCAGGATCAAACCCACAATCTTGGTGTATTGGGACTCTTTAAACAACTGTCCAGGACTGCTTTTAAATACTTACTCTCAAATTCTATACTCACCCAGTCACTCGGTTCTGAGGAATAAAATACACTGCAAGTGATAGGATTTTTAAAGCTTCTCATTAGGAGCCTCTCTATGCTGAGCATGTTGATAAAGGGCTCCCTGGTCTTGGGATGTGGGGTTGGGCTCACCTTTTGCAAAAACCTCCCGAAGTTTAATGATTTCTCACAAATGGCAGCAGGGTGTCCATGATCCTCAAATCTCTACAGATACTTCGTCATGCACCAGGGGTCCTCAGACTTTTTAAACTGGGGGCCAGATCACGGTCCCTCAGAGAGCTGGAGGGCCGGACTATATGAACTACTAATTCCTACTGTAACACCTCGGCTGCGCTCACTGCCCAAAAAGCCTGGCGGGCCGAATCAGACTCCTCTGCGGGCCGCATGTGGCCCGCGGGCCGTAGTTTGAAGACGCCTGCATGCACAGATCTTTGACTTTTTACATTAATCATGGGTTCCCAAAATGAAACTGTAAATAACTCACACACCTGTTTCTACCCCTTGCTGCTTTAACTGCTGTGGCCAGAGGAGATAAATATTCAGGTTGCCAGCCTCCTTTTCAGAAGTCATGTGACATAGCTCTGGCCAAGGAGAAATAAGATTGGGTACTTCTAGAAAGGCTTCAACTTTTCCTGATAAAAGAGAGAGAGAGATGGTTAGCAGCCACCTTGCAACCATAAAGGAGATGTTAAGAGAATCCCAGAGAAGACAAGCCAGATCTCTAACATTGTTTGGTTCCTGAACCAACTACCTACTTTTTTATTTCTTGTTATGAAAGAGAACGTAGAGCCCTGTTATTTGTGTCATTGTTAATTTAGTTTTCTGTCGCTTGCAGCCAAAATCATTGTGAACTGATCAAGAATCCCGTAACGATTTATCTGGTTTCTATTTGGTTGAATCATATGAAACTGGTATGTGTATAGGTCAAATTGATGAACGAGCAGCAGTTTTGCATCATTCAACCTGGAGGTGTGTGTCTGTTAGGATGCTTTGGAAAGCAAATTACAGAAATTTTAATTCAGTGCATTAGGGAAGGAGACCTTGACTCGCTTAAGTGCTGAAATAGGCATCCAGAGACTCAGCACTACCACCAAAGCTTAGTTCTGCCCAGGCCTCTCTTCTGCCTCCTGCAACCCCAGCTTCAATGCAGGCAGCGTGGTTTCTTGTCCACATCTCGCAGGAGAAAAGGAGTTTCTGCCCAGCATTCTGGAAAATTCTAAAATTCCCACTAAATGGCCTCATAGGTCACGTGCTTATGCCTGAATCAGTGACCATGATCCTGGATGGATGATCTCGGATGAAAAGGTGTTGACTAGTATAAATAAAACAGAGTCCAGTCCTGAACCTGGGATAGGGTCGATATCTTTCTCCCGGAACTCTCAGCACTTTCAGGAAGTGGGAATCACTCGGAGAATGGGGGCCGGTTAGATAAGCACAAAGTCCACTCCAACAGGTCATCATCAATGTAGGGATTTGGGTCGGCAGCACAGAAACAGACAACAGAATGGGAGGCAGGCAAAGTAAGGGTGTTATTATTTGAAAAAGAGGAAAGGTGCTGGACCGGCAGCACTACTTACAAATATCCATTAGTTATTTCATAGACGGACCCAAAGTGGATTTATTTAACCCAATAACGAAACGTGAGGTAAAGAGCAGAGAAAAAGGGAGTGTGACAGGAAGGCGAGAAGTGAGAGTGGCTCCAAACAGTGTGGCCTTCATCAGGAGACTCAGAGAAAGGTCTGCTGGTGGGAAATTCTTATTAGAAATGTGAGCGAAGACTAAGGAACAAAATAGTAATGACACAAAAATAAGCCCACAAGCAAACGATATAACAATAAAGAGTCCCAGAAGTAGATCCAAGTGTCTATGATGACTTCGTATATCAAGGGTAGCATTTACTTACTTATTTTTTTTTTATTGATTTCAAAGAGGAAGGGAGCGAGAAACATCAATGATGAGATAGAATCACCGATTGGCTGCCTTCTGTACGCCTGGGGATCAAGCCTGCAACCCAGGCAGGTGCCCCCAACTGGGAATGGAACCTGGCGGATGTCCACAGGCCGATGCTCTGTCCGCTGAGTCAAACCAGCCAGCTAGGGTTTACTTAATTATTTTATTCATTCATTCATTCATTCATTCATTCATTCATTCATTCATTCATTCCAAGGGTACCATTTAAATCCCACTGGGAACAGTGTAGATTATTCAACAAGTGGTGCTGCATAACTGGCTCTCCATCTGGCAGAAAACAAAGTTAGACCCCTAGATCATACACACACGAGGCTACGTTCCTGCAATATTAAATGTTTAAATTAAGAAGAAGAAGAGAAAAGGACATGAGAATATTTGGTCGGGGAATAAGGGAAACCTTTCTAACCCGGAACGCGAGCGTGCAGCCGCTCTCATTCCGCTGCTCCCATTGGTCCCTCGAGGGCAACGTCCCCGGACGTCAGCCAATGAGAGTTGAGCCTGGGCGGCGCCCTCGGCCAATAGGGCCAAAGCGGGAGATTTGAAAGGGCCTCGGCCGAGCGCGGCGGCGGCGGGGGCGGCTCAGTCGTTTGCCGGCGGCCGGGAGGTTGGCGGCGCCGCGGGCCCAGGTGAGCGGACCTCCCTGGCGCCGGGAGAGGTGGTGAGCGGGAGATCCGGGGTCCGATGGGCCGGCCCGCGCGCATCCGGGGTAGAGAGGGTCCTGGGAAGGGGTGGGGCCTGCGTCCCGGGGCTCCCGGAGCAGTCAGCGGACGACCTGCTCCCTTTCCCCAGCCCCAGGCAATCGCTGTCGGCCAGGTCAATCCGACCCCTCCCTTTCTCGCTCCCTCTTTTTGCTGCTTCTCACGGCTCCGTTTCCCTTTGCTCAGCTCTCCTCCCCCTTCCCCTCTAAGGATGGCTCAGAAGGAGAACGCCTACCCGTGGCCCTACGGCCGGCAAACGGTAAGGGCTTTTCCCACCCTCCCCCAACCCGCATGGTGAGCTCCTGCTGGAGATATGAGATCCTGCAGAAGGCCGTCTTCTAGGCGCTTTCTCTGCCACGGTTATGCTCCAAGAGTTTGCTGGTGGCACTGGGTCTGGTTATTTGCAGCCACGTCCCCGTCTAGTGTTTGTCGCCAGCTTTGAATCCGAGGACCTCTGGGCTTAACCTATTATACACAAAGGCTAACAGGCTGAGCAGCCAGGGCCGGCCCTTGAGGCCAGGATAACCAGTCCTTGTCCTGAAAGAAACAGGCTTAACCGTTTGGAATTTACTTTTAAAGACTGGTGTGAGATACGGATCTAAATAGCTTTATTTTCCAGTTGTACCAACCCCTTTCGTGGAAGAGTCTACCTTCTGATTTGAAATGCCACCTTTGTTTTTATATTCAATTCCCACATCTCTGTGAGTCTGTTTCCCGACTCTATGTTGTTCAACTTGCTTATTTGTAAATTCTATACTCACATCGCTGGGAACAGGTTTTTAGGGCCACTGAGACTCTTCCTCTCTTGGCGAAGGAAGGAAGGAAGGAAGGAAGGAAGGGAGGAAGAAAGGAAGGAAGGAAGGAAGGTGTCACACAAGCTTTGCTCCCTGTGTAGGGCTTGGGTATCCTGGAGGGTCCATCTGTCCCCTGGCCCACCAGCTCCCTCCCTCATGGGTACCGAGTGAGTCTGTCAGAGGAGAGGCTGAATGAGAACCATTGTCACTTCTACAATGGTCCCTCCCAAAGGAAGTTTTGCATATTACCCACGATTTGAAAGTGAGAAGTGGTCCAAGGTCATCAGAGTACCCCTCAGTTTGTATCCCCTAAAGTCTGTTGTTTGCAAAGGGGTGAATACCGGTATTTGCTGAATAGTCAAGGCCTCCAGGGCCTTCTCCAAGCCTTCACAGACAGATTTTTTAATAAATGATTCAGTATATATTTTTGTGTCTTTAAAATCCATGGTATTACAGATATCGGAAGTCTATTCTTTTCCATTGCAGTGTAGCAGTTTGTTAATATGAATAGTTTATTTACACATTGGGAGACAATTTGGGTCGCTTCCATGTGTTGACTAGTATGAATTAAGCTGCTGTGACATTTTTTGTGCATCTCATTATTGATTTTGAGAGAAAGAGAGAAACATCTATGTGAGAAATGTCTCTTGGTTGCCTCCCACACATGCCCCGAACAGGGATCAAACCCACAACTTGGGTAGGTGCCCTGACCAGGAATCGAACCTGTCACCTTTTGGTGGACAGGAAGATGCTCCAACCAGCTGAGCCACACTGGCCAGGGCTTTTTAGGGGCCTGAGAATGTCTCTGGGCTAAAACTCCTTGAATCCTGGGTATTCATTACCCTAGCCTCCTACTGCCCCGGGGGTGGAGAGCTGGGTGAATGGGTCAAGTTCTGAGCGTTATAGGACCATAGAGGCTGGACAATTTCATGCTTGAGGATGTGGTGTGGACCAGGCCAAAGAGGTGAAATGTTAGGTATTGGGGTAAGTCCTTTGCTCCTTTATCTTAAGCTGACTTGACTTGTTTATTAAAAAGCCATTCATTGGGGTTCTGAGCAGATTATTGAGGCTGAATAGCAATATTGTGGTCTCATTGTTCCTCTTTGAGCGGGGTGTGTGTGTGTGTGTGTGTGTGTGTGTGTGTGTGTGTTGGGTGGGGGGGGGTAGCTCCATGGCAAGCACTGACGTGCTGCTGGCAGCACATTCCAGACTGGCCGCTGGGACAAAGGCCCCTCAGCGCCCTGTGCTCCTCCTCAGGCTCACTCCGGCCTGACCTCCCTGCCACAGAGGGTCCTTCAGAAGGACCCCACCACCCCATCTTCGCTCGTCCTCATGAACCGCTCCAATGCCCAGCCCACAGGTACCGGGGGCGGTGGGGGGAGGGGGGAATTGCCTGAGGGGACTGGAGTCCGGGAGGGTACGGGGATGAAAATGTTCAAGGGCAGCCTCAGCTTACCTGTTCTTTCCTTAGCTGCCCCTGGCCACAACAGCAATGGGACACCCAACTTAACGTAAGTGCCCAAGCCGTGGGGGCGGGCAAGCGTGAGGGTGGGACAGGGAGCAGGTGGGCCATGAAGGAGGTGGAAGCTGAGGGCGGGAGGAGCAGGGAGGCAGCAGGAGAGCCTGATCTATCTTCAGTCCCTTGGAAGAGAAGCGGGGCAGAGAAGGCGGACACCTCAGGCGGCCCACAAACCCTTGCTCAGGTGCCCTCCCTCCCCCGACCCTCTGCGCAGGCGGCCCTTCACCATCGATGACTTTGAGATTGGGCGCCCTCTGGGCAAAGGCAAGTTTGGGAACGTGTACCTGGCTCGGGAGAAGAAGAGCCGTTTCATCGTGGCGCTCAAGGTCCTCTTCAAGTCGCAGATCGAGAAGGAGGGCGTGGAGCACCAGCTCCGGAGGGAGATCGAGATCCAGGCCCATCTACAGTGCGTCCCCGCCCTCCGGGCCAGCGCCCCTCTGCTCCCTCCCCAGCTCCTCTCTCAGCCCCCCTCATCCGGACTTCTCCCCGCCGCTGTGGCCCCTGGGCCCCACCGAGCTCTCCCCGGCAGCCACAGCCTTGAACCCACAGACCTGTCTCCAGCTCTCCCTCGCCACGGCCAGCCCGGTGTCCCCAGCCTGCTCCAACTCTCACCGAGGCGGGACCTGTCATCTTTCCCGTTTCCTCACGCCCGGATGTGGCCTGAGGCCCCTCTGTCTCTCCTCCCAGGCATCCCAACATCTTGCGCCTCTACAACTACTTCTACGACCGCCGGAGGATCTACCTGATCCTGGAGTACGCGCCCCGCGGGGAGCTCTACAAGGAGCTGCAGAAGAGCCGCACCTTTGACCAGCAGCGGACAGCCACGGTTGGGAAGGGGTGGGCGCCTGGGACGCCCGCAGTGGCCTGCGGCTGGGGGGCGAGGGGGTGCTGCGGGCAGCGGGGGGTCCGCCCTCGTCTGACCGCCTGCCCTTGGCCTTCCCAGATCATGGAGGAGCTGGCGGACGCCCTGACGTACTGCCACAGGAAGAAGGTGATCCACAGGGACATAAAGCCGGAGAACCTGCTCTTGGGGCTCCAGGGGGAGCTGAAGATTGCCGACTTCGGTTGGTCCGTGCACGCCCCCTCCCTGAGGTACGGTGTGCCAGGCGGCCAGCCCTGGGGGAGGCTGGTGTTCACCCAGAAACACTGGGGCTTGTCCTCTGTGATATATAGACAGACGTGGCTATATCGTTACAAAAATAGGAGACTCGGGTTTGTTGCCCAGATTTCTTATTCAATATATGGGGACCCTCTTGCCATACTGAGAATACTCCCACATCATTTTTTATTTTTTAATATATTTTATTGAGTTTTTACAGAGAGGAAGAAAGAGGGATAGAAAGCTAGAAACATCTATCAGCTGCCTCTTGCACATCCCCTACTAGGGATGTGCCTGCAATCAAGGCAAGTGCCCTTGACTGGAATCGAACCTGGGACCTTTTAGTCCACAGGCCGACGCTCTATCCACGGAGCCAAACCGGTTTCCGCTCCCACATCATTTTGAATGGCTTCCTCGTATTGCCTAGTAGAGCTATAATGTGATTTATTTGAACAGGACATGCTTGATGGGACATGAAAGTTGTCTCCAATTTTTCCTTTAATTCTAAGGGGAGCGTGGCCCTCTCATCCGATTATTGTAAGACACATCCCTCGGTTTGGAAATGCGGGGGCCGTGTATAAATAAACCCACCTCTGAGGCTTCGGTGTATAGCTCCACCCACTGCTACCCCACAAACCCTGCGGGTCCTGGGGTCCTGCCTCACCGTTGTCAGGCAACCAGGAAAGGAGAGGCCATTCGTCCCCGGGACCCCTGCCCACTGCCCCGCCCCACCAGGAGGAAGACCATGTGCGGCACCCTGGACTACCTGCCTCCGGAGATGATTGAGGGGCGCACGCACAACGAGAAGGTGGATCTGTGGTGCATCGGGGTCCTCTGCTACGAGCTGCTGGTGGGGAACCCCCCCTTTGAGAGCGCCTCCCACAACGAGACGTACCGGCGCATCGTCAAGGTGCGGGCTGAGCCGGTCCGGCCGCGGGGGTCGGGGCTGGGAGCGGAGAACAGGGTTGTGGGGCCTCGTTCTCCGCATACAATGGCGGCCAAGGGAAAAGCAGTTACACTGACGGGTCCGCTCCTCTCCTCTCTGCCTCGCAGGTGGACCTGAAGTTCCCGCCGGCCGTGCCCGTGGGAGCCCAGGACCTCATCTCCAAGCTGCTCAAACACAACCCCTCAGAGCGCCTGCCGCTGGCCCAGGTCTCAGCCCACCCCTGGGTCCGGGCCCACTCCCGGCGGGTATTGCCACCCTCCGCCCTCCAGTCCGTCCCCTGAGCCGTCCGTCATTTCACTCGGCCTCGTCCGGTTGTGTGTCTGTATCTGTGTAGTGGGAAGGAGGGGTCTCTGTCTGTTCCCGATTCTGTCTCCTACCTCCTTTTTATTTAATAAAGGCTGCAGCTTTTTGTGACGATGAGTGCAGGCGTGAGAGGTGGAGGCGCGGCCGGGGGTGAAGCTGGCCCCTGTGGGAAGAGATGCCCAGGGGTGCCCAGATGGGCACCGGATTCCTGCACCTGCACCTGCCCTCAGCTCTGCCGCCAGCCTGGCCAGCTCCCGCCACCCGTCCCCACCGCCTTTTCTCCTTGCTGCTCTCACCCAGGGTCCCGGGTGCTGGGACCTCGGCTGTCCTCTGCTAGGCCTACCATCTGCCCACCTCTGACTTCTGACTCTCAACTGAGCTCTGGTCTCCCTCCTGCTTCAGCCCCTGCCAGCCTGGGGCCACTGAACGGTGCTGCTGCCAGCGGCGGTGTGTGCTGGTCAGGCTCTCGCCCAGAGTGAGGAGACGCAGCACTGATGGTGTCTCCTTCCCGGCTATACGGTTTCACTGTCAGGGTGATGTTTGTGGTAGGTTTACCCTCATATTGCAGTTAAGGCAACGGAGACACTTGATCTGTACAAAGTCACACGACTATAATAGTAAGTGGGGTAGCCCGATTTTAAAACTCCGCATTTAAGGGAGTAATGGTATAATGCTCAGCAAACACATTTATTATGTATATGTAACATATTATACATTGAAATATATATGTATGTGTATACGTCGGTATACACATACATATATCAATATATTTCACAGAAGTGGAGCAAGAATTTGTTTCTGCCGTTACTAAGTGTGCTATAAGCCTTTATCAGGTTAAGGTAGGACTAGTCTCTTTCTACTTTGCAAAGGGTTTGTTTTTTTTGTATCAGGTGTTGACTTTCATCAAATGTTTTTTTCTGTATTGATTATTTGCTCTTTCAATCAATGTGGTGAAATACATTGATTGAAATGTATCTGTGAAGTGTATCAATAAATGGTCTAATCTTTATTTTATCTCAGTTTTTCGTGCTGTATTCGATTCCCAGAGCTAGAGTACCAAAATGCCACCAACTTGGTGATCTAAAACCACAGGAACTTACTTTGGCAGCTCTGGAGGCCCAGAGTCAAGGCCCTCATCGGACTGTCCTCCCTTCGAAGGCTCAAGGGGAAAATCCCTGCCCCTTCCAGCTTCAGGAGGTTCCAGGCATTCCTTTTTTTTTAATTCTCACCCGAGGAAATTTATCCCATTGATTTTTGACTTTTCAGAGAGAGGATAGAGAAAAATATCCATGTGAGATTGGTTGCCTCCTGCACTGGCCCCGAGGGCTCTGGTGAGGGAGGAGCGTACAACTGAGGTAGCTAACGTGATCTGAGTCAAACCGGGAAGCCTTCGGTCCACAGACCAATGCTCTATCCTCTGAGCCAAACCAGCTAGGGGCTCCAGGCATTTCCTGGTTGTGGTTACATAACTCCAGTCTCTGCTCCCATCTTCACATTTGTCTCTGTCTCTCTTCTGTGTCATCAGCACACCACTCATTGGATTTGCACTCAGATAACCCAGGATGATCTCAAGGTCCTTAATTACATCTGCAAAGACACTTTTCAGAAAAACTGCTCGTTCATAGGTTCATTAGGATATTAACATACCTTCTTGGGGGCCACCATGCAATCTGCTACACCTGCCATAGAGCAGCGTTTTTAACCGCTGTTCCGCGGCACATGTTGCCTGGTGTGCCGTAGGTGCAGACAAGACAAGAATTTTATAATTTTTCACTATTTTGTTTACTTAATATTTCATAATAAAGTAATTATAAAATACTTTCTTTGTGTTTGATTCCTATTCAAGAGAATTACTTTATATATAGTCAATATAGGCACAGAGTTAAATTTTTTAACATTTTCTAATGGTGGTGTGCCTCGTGATTTTTTTCATGAAACTAGTGTGCCTTTGCCCAAAAAAGGTTGAAAAACACTGCCATAGAGAAACAAATGAACGATGTTATAAGGCTGCTGCTGCTGCTGCTGCTGCTTCTTCTTCTTCTTCTTCAAGCAGCCTGCTCATTTCTCTTTTCCCTGAGATAACCAATTCCAACTCTTTTTGCTATTTTCTATTTTATTTTTCTCTTAGTATTTACCATCTATTTCCAAATCACATGCTTCTGTTGCTGTTTAATAAATCTTCATTTTTTGGTATTTGTTACCTATTGTTTAACAGCTATAAAATTTAAGGATTAAACTCTTTTACCCCTCTGCCACTATGTATATGTTCACAGGTTCTGGTCTTGCATCCTTCTGATGTAGTTTCATCATACTTTTGGTTAGATTTAGTCATTTGATAACAGTTATTGAGTGCCTTCGGCATCCCAGGCTCTCTTCTAGAGGCTGGAGGTCAGGCAGTGAATAAAAGAGGAAGAAATCCTCTAAAGTCAGGGCTCAGTGTCAGTGTTTGTATGATCATGAGATGCTAGCCAGTGACTCATGTGGCATTCTAGTATTTTTCTTGCTTATACAGCTTTTGACAGTCCCTGAAGTTGTCTTATTTGCTCATTTTCCTATGTATAGCTCACTAATCCATCTCAAGTTCTCCTTCAGTGTGAGCACTTTGAAGCTATCAACATCCATCAAAGTGTCATTTTATTGCACCACACAGGCCTGATATGGAGTACATTATTTTGTATTTCTCAGGTCTCAATATTCTTTTTTTAAAAATATATATATATATTTTATTGACTTCACAGAGAGGAAGAGAGAGGGATAGAGAGTCAGAAACATTGATGAGAGAGAATCATTGATCAGCTGCTTCTTGCACCCTCCCCCCCACTGGGGATGTGCCGCAAACAAAGTACATGCCCTTGACCAGAATCGACCCGGGAGCTTTCAGTCCGCAGGCTGACATTCTATCCACTCAGCCAAACCGGTTTCGGCTCAATATTCTTTAATTACCATTATTATTTCTTCCCTGATCCAGGAGTATTTCAAAGGTGTTCCAAACACAGGGGCTTACCCCTACCTGAGTCCATGATGATTTTGTTGAGTTACTAAATTAATCAACCCTGGCTCTAGAGCACTGTCCAGTACACATACACACACACACACACACACACACACAAAATGCAGGTTTGATTCCCAGTCAGGACACATAAGGTTGCATGTTTGATCCCTGATCAGAGCATCTCAATGTTTTTCTCTCACATCACATTGGGTTTTTCTCTCTCTAAAAATCAATTTTAGAATCTTTGGGTAAGGATAAAATATAAATTCATGAACCCTGGTGTCCTTGGCCATTTTTCTATTATATTGTATGTGTCTTGCTCGGTTACTTGTAAAGACAAAGGATATTAATTTGTCATATACTTTGCCAATGTTTTTTTCCTTTGTCTTTCAACAGAAAGTTTAGAGTGGTTTTCTTTGTTGGTGTTTCCAGTTTTAAATTGTCAAGCCTACCATCTTTTTCCCTTATGGTATTTGACTTGATTTTTCTCTGGAAAATCTTTATCACCTCAAACTTATTTTAAAAAAATGCACCTCTGTCTTCTTTCAGTACTTTTTCATTTAAAATTGTGATCAAAATGGAAATTCTTTTGGTGTAAGGAATGAAATAATTATTTTTTTGTTTTAGTTCAAATAAATACCTGGTCTCATACTAAATTCCCATATACAGGAATTTCAGTTTGTAACAACAACAAAAAAAGTTCATTTATGGGGTAGCAAGGAAAACCTGGGCCTTTAACAAGACACTTGACCCTGATTGCAGGAAAACTCATCCTTCCCTAGCTCCTGGCACTGTGTAGTATGGCCTTTTGGACCAAAAATATTTTATAAATATTGAAAAGAGTATTCGAAAGCCTCATAGACAGTGTGCATTTGTGTGAAAATATGAGTCACATCAGACATCCAGGAGTGACCAACCGTTTGTGGCAGTGACATCCAAACAGGAGGAGAGAGCCCTCCCTGGGAAGTGAGCCATTTTCCAGCAGCCGCATGCAGGAAGTGGGAACTACCTGTCACAGTCCGGGAGGTAATTAATTAAGGCTTTGCAGGCCATCTGGCCTCTGCTGGAACTACCACACTGCCGTGTGGGCCAGGAGCGACCACAGACGGTACATAAATGAGTGATCGTGGCTGTATGACAACATTTTGTGGACATAAAATTTGAGTTTCTTATAATTACGTGAACGTTCATATCCTTTATTTTTCAACCGTTTAAAAATGTAAAAAAAACAAAACAACAAAACCTCCCAAATTACACTTTGACAACAAACACACGTCAGCCGCTTCATTATTGTAAATACCCTGGTTATGTAATACATATGGCAAGAAACAACAGGACTTGTCATTAGACTTTAGACTTAAGAAATAAGACTTGAAGAGTAAGAACCTTAACACTTAAGCATGGAATAGAGCTTACCTGTTTTGTTTTGTTTTTCTACATTACAAGGTAGAAATTGTTTCTTGATATTTCTGTTTACTTAGCTTAGGAAAGTTTTAACGTAATAATAAAAAGAAAAAGGCAGCAGCAAGTGTAAATCCCTGAGGTGGGAGGATGTCTGAACCGTGAGGAGGAAGCCAGTGTGGCTCCCGCAGGACCAGTGAGGGGAAGAGAAGGAAGAGATGAGATCAGAGCGGTGCCAGGGCTCTGACCTTCAGGCAGGAACATTCACTTATTGAATATTTTATCGAGCGGCAAAATCACATGCCATCCTCCGAGGGAAGAGACTCAAACCTGGAGGAGGCAGGAGAAAGAACAGCGGCAAAAGCCCAGGAAAGCCCTTCAACAGGCCTCGGTGTCCACCATTCGTCGCTTCTGAATAGTTCACCTGCCAGGTCTGTGAGCCGAGGACGGCGGTACGAACCACTCGTGTTCTGAGAGTCGTTTTCATCCTTCCTGATCCACTGGAGGCGGTTCAATCCCGATGGTCCAAGCAGATACACTGCGTATTTCCATCCCAAGAATCTCTCGCAGGTACTCCCAAGCCTGATCATTAGTACACGTGGGGTTGCTAAGCAACGGCTGTGGGCGTGGCCGTTGGGGCATAAAGAGTCGCAGCCCCGCCCTTAGAGGACGCGGGTATTTCAGGATCTTGATCTTTAAAGTCTCCCCCTCTACTTTTTGAGTGGGCGGGGCCACGACCGCAGCTGTCACCTCATCTCCACCCTGCGGGCGCTCACTTGCGCAGGGCTCTTCCATAACAGCTCTTCTTCCGGGACTTCCTGGTCGCCGTGACCAATCAGAGTGCTGTTTCCGTCCGAGCCGCTGTCGGCCCGCAGACCTCGGCGCTCCTCTACCTACGCCTCTTAAAGGCGCCGCCAGCGCCTCGGGAGCCCGGGCGAACCAAGTCCTCGGTTCCCGTCCCCAGCTGCAGTATGGAGTCGTCCCACAGGCCGCCCGGGCCCGAGGCAGACCTTCTGACTTTGGGGAGACAGCGAGCCGCGGTCTTGGGCGGCGGGCCGAGCCGAACGCCCTCGGAACCGCCCTCAGGCTTCCGGGTGCCGGCAGAGGAAGAAGCCGAGAACGTTGGGGGCTCGCGCCGCCACCCCGGGGCGTCCCCTAAGACTTCGAGCTCCAGCGTCGTCCGCTGGCCGGGACCGGAGGCTCCGGAGGACGAGCTCGGCCGCCCCGCGATGCAGGGTGGACCGGGGAGCCACCGGGGAGCGCCGGAGCCCGAGCTCCACCCGCGCGGGTCTTCCCTGCGCCAGGACCCCGCGCCGCCCGAGGACCAGCCCGTCTCCGAAGCCATCAGCCGTCGAGGAGGCCCGGGAGGCGGCGGGATGGATGCTGAGCAGGAGGAGGAGGACGACGCCGAGGGGGCGGCCGGCCGGGCCGGCAGGTCGTTTCCCAGCCGCCTCCAGGACAGCCGCAGCCTGGACGGGCTGAGCGGGGCGTGCGGCGGCTCCGGGTCCCCAGCGGGTGCGGAGTCCGGCGCGGGGGGCGGGCGTCGCGCCACCATCTCCAGCCCCCTGGAGCTGGAGGGCACGGTGAGCCGCCAGGGCGACCTCACCCATTTTGTCGCCAACAACTTGCAACTCAAGATCCGCCTGAGCAGCACCTCCCAACCCCCGCCCCCTGTCCCCGCGCCTCCCTGCTCGGCACCTCCATCCTCGCCGGCCATCCCCCCCATCGACCCGGACGTGCTGCGGGACCTGGAGCGGCTGAGCCGGGAGCTGGGCGGCAGGGTGGACCGTCTGCTCCGCGGGCTGGGCGGTGCGGTGCAGGAGCTGACGGCGCTGAGCGTGGGCTGCATCCAGACCTACCGCGACGCCGTGGACTCCCTAGGCGAAGCCGTGGACATGAGCATCAAGGGGATGTACACGCTGCTGGCGCGCTGCGAGGAGCTGGAGAGGGCTCTGCAGCCAGTGCAGGGGCTGGCGCGCCAAATCCGGGATATCCGACGCACCCTGGAGGTGCTGGAGGCTCTGTGCAAGTGACCGGGAGGGCAAGAGGGACCAGGCCAGGGCCCAGTAGGATCCTACGGGCTCTTCAAGATGCGTTTAGCAGGCCGGCGTCCGCTCGCTGGGCCGTATGCAGGTGTCTGTGGGAAGCTCTAAAGGCTTTCCTGGTGGGAGGTGCTGATGCTCAGCTTCTATTCAGTTGGCCATCTGTAGCTACGTTGTTTTCCTCAACTCTCCTCTAACTAAAGCTCCGTCCCTGGTGACCCAGGATTCCAGGTCTGGGCTTGAGAGACATGCGACTAAATGTGATCAAGGAAGGGGAACAGAGGCCCCAGCCCCCACTGTGGCCACTCTGACCCCAGTATCACATCTCAGGTGCCAGGAACTATGGGAGTTTGAGTGGGCCTTGGTCACCCGCCGTGCAGACAGGCATGCACACTTGCAGATGGATACCCTGCTTTTGCTCTCTGGCCCCCTACCGTCCCATTTCAGCCAGACCAGGGTGGAGCTAGAAGGAACGCATTGCATGGTGGAGGGGGTGAGTTGGGAGTGGTCTCACTGCTCTCAGGATTCAGTGGAATTGTTGCTGGTTTTGAAGCCCACCTGTTGTGGAGTGTTCCAATCAGTTTTAACTTGCTGAGTTTTTGTGGAATTAAAGTGCTGCTGCTAAGGCTGAAGCTGTGTCTGTGTGGCGTTACACGGATTGATGAGCCAAAAAGAATGGGAATAAGGGTCCGTCTTTTCCGTGGACCTCCCTTGGGGTCGGTGCTGGGAGTGAGGTGGGGCACCCAGGCTACGTGGGGGATGATATATATCGGTTCCCGCCCTTAGGCATCAGGCCTGAGGGGAACTGCAGGACACGAATATGACCCAGAGATCCGATAAAAGCAGAAACGAAGCAAAGTGCTCCAGAAAAGGAAGGGATTGTCTTTTCTGATGCTAATACACCTTATTCAGGGAAGGACTGGGCGAATTGGACATTTTGTCTGCGGAGAAAGATGGGGGAAACTTGTTAGCTCCATTCCTGATCCCATTTCCCACACTGCACCAATCAGTGCCACATGTATGCTTTGAGACCATCTTTGTTCCAACCCCTGGCACCTTTCTATGTTTTCAGTTCACATAGTAAGTTCCAGCAGCCACCATGTTAAGGTGGCATGTTAGATTTATAAAGAGATCACAGAAAGAGTTCCTGTTCTGTTTTACTATCATCCTGTTCCAGAAAACACTAGCGCTTTGGGCTGTGCTTCAACAAGTTCCTCTTTTATGTGTAAAGAGTTCTGGGATTGGAAATGTTATAACAAGAGATTTGAAGTTCAATCACTGAAAACTGTTAAAAGTGATCCCTCACTGGCCCGTACGGGGATCGAACCCGCGACCTTGGCGTTATTAGCACCACGCTCTAACCAACTGAGCTAACCGGCCAGTCATGCTCTGAGCCTCCATATAATTCTAAGTAGAATTTACAGTACTTATGCCCTCTGCCTAGAAAAATTGGGTAAGAATAAACAGAATTCAAAGATTAAATTACCAAGCATTTAAAGAAGTACCAGCTACTCTTCTCACAGTCTTAGCAAAAGGCACAAGGACCAACTGAGGCACCGCTGGGATTCGAACCCAGGATCTCCTGTTTACTAGACAGGCGCTTTAACCAACTAAGCCACGGCGCCTCACGATAGGGGCCTGGGAACCTCTTTTCTTGGCCAGGTCAGCTCCAGAGCAGGTGCGTTAAGGTCCAGAGCTATTTTATAATCAATTTTGCCCATTCTGGAAAAATGCAGAAGGGACGAAAACCCCAACTGTTAGCGAGAAGCAACGAGTGACACGGACATTGAATGTGGGCAAACAGAAAAGAGAAATTCTTACTTTCTAAATACAAAATTTGACATAAGCAACTTGAACCGACGAGGATGGGATTCGAACCCACGCGTGCAGAGCACAATGGATTAGCAGTCCATCGCCTTAACCACTCGGCCACCTCGTCCACGACAAGCTTGTGTTGTCTGCTCCTTCTGAGATCTGAACTCTTATTTCGCAATTTAAAAAATGACATGTCGCGAAGAGAATTCATTCCTTAAGATCCTGCCCAATACTGCGGAGCCGATACGCAGAACGCTGAACTGACCGAGCTTCATTCTCGCCTGCGCAAGCTCCCGACTCTCTGTTCTGGGTTGAGCGGTCTGGAACTTGCGCCGTCTCTATGACCCTGGACCTGCCGCAAAAAATACGCGGGATTGTTGGGCTCTCTCCATGGGAAGGCTCGAGGTTTCGGGCCAGGATACCTCTCCTTCCTGCCCCTACAAAGTGCTGCTTCTCCTCCTTGACCGCTGAAGTTCATAGTTGAAAATGATGGAAATAAAGAGAAACCAAAAGTATGACCCCGACGTGATTTGAACACGCAACCTTCTGATCTGGAGTCAGACGCGCTACCGTTGCGCCACGAGGTCGACCGGCCCTTCTGCTCGTCAGATCTTCTCATAACGATTTGATGATGTTTGTTTCCAGGTGGCCGGAGTCTCTGGATCGAAGAGCAAGAGCCTAAGGCTTACCTAAACTTCCGATGTGATACTTGCGTTGTAGGGCGAGCTGGGCACACTGACCGCGCAATGGTTTTGCGGGCTCCGGGCTCAGCGGTCCCTCCGACCCCTCTTCGGGCATCGGTGGCCCAGAGCTGGTTACCTGGGAGACCCAGGACTCACAGCACATCAGGGAAAGGACATGCGCAAAAACGGATGATCAATTAAATCATACGTGGAAAAAGTGATGGGAAACTTCATACTGGTTGCCGGAATCTGAACCCACTACTCAGATTTAACCCCAGAAAGAGAGAGAGGAGCGGGCATTACGTCCCGGCTGCTGTAATGGAGTAAGTACAAACCACCACTCATGATGTATTTTTTACCAGAAAACAACGTGAGACTGATCTGACAGCCAGTTCACAGGAAACACAGAGCACACAGGAGTAAGTCAAATGACCCGGTAGAACACAGCCTATACATGGCCCGGTGTCTTCAACAGATGATTGCAAGAAAGGACAAGAAGGAAAGAGTGAGGAGGAAGAACCTAAGATTAAGAGAGACTTATGGAGGGAGTGGGGGATACATGTGTAATAAGTTCAATGATACAGATCTTAAAAAAAGAGAGACTTAAGACACCTTGACCAAGTCAATGTGTCAACTTTATTTGGACCCTGATTCAAGCAAAGTGTAAAACCAAAAAACAAAATGTGTGTGAGTGGGCAATTTGAACTCTCTGGCGACATCTGGGATTTTCTTCAAAATAAGCTAATAGGGCTGAGAGGAAAAGTATAGAGGAAGCAAGGTAGGTCTCAAAGGGGATCATTATACCATTTTTTTATTTTTACTTTTACACGTTTACATTTTTCCATGATAAATTTTTTTTCTAAGTTCTTGTATGACCAGTTCAAATGGGAGCATGTGGGATCCAGAGTGAACACCCAGCCACCTGCAGTCCCTCCTTTGACCACAGGCAGGCTCCAAAACGGAACGTTTCTGAGACTTTCTGTGAACCAAGGTCATGGAAAATGACAGGACAGGCCTAAATGTCTGCTCACTGTTAATTCACAGTGTGAAATGTGACTACCCGATTCTTACTACCTACTCGTTTCTCTAGGCAGGAAGCCTAGAGACGAATTACTTCCCAAACTTCCAGCTTGCTGGGGCCCCAAATTTGTCATCCTTGCACCTCTCCGGTTTTCTCACCTATCCTCAGTCTCTTAGTCAGACCTTCTTATCTTCCTGATTCCTTCCACTTCATTCTACATTCTTGATCCACCCTGGTCCAGGCTCATCCTGGCCTTCCTGGGTATCTTTATGGCTTCTTCACTAACCTTCTGCTTAAAATCTTAAAATCCACTCTCCAGCCTGGCAGGTGTGGCTCAATGGTTGAGTGTGGACCTATGAACCAGGAGATCATGGTTTGATTCCCGGTCATTGATGTTTCTCTCTCTCCCCTTCCTCTCCGAAATCAGTAAAAATGTTTTAAAGTCCACTCCCTATGTTGGAAACAAAGTTACCTCCTAGAATACAAATCTGACCATGTCCCTCCCCGTGGCTGCAAGGCTGGAGGAGATCTGACCCATCCCACCTCCCCCTGATCTTTCCTTCCCTTCCATTGCTTCTATTCTGTGCAACACACTGGGCTTGTTCCCACCTAAAGACTTGGGCACTTGCTGCTTCTCCACCTGGAATGCGCTTCCCCCAGATTCCACACCGACTCTTCGTTTTCTTTGCAAAAGTAAGTCCCAGTCTTTCCTCACCTTCATATTGTGATTGTGCTTTTCACCTGGGAACCGTCAGGCTTGATACACTGTCACTGAGGGGAACTGGGCTCTGAAGGCCTGGGCTTTCTATTCCCACGAGGACAAGCATGGAAGTTGCAGAGGGAAGAAAGGAAGGTTCAGGGATGGGGTCCTCGGGAAACCAGGGCTCCGTGACACTAAGCGACAGCGACAATCTAGGGACAGCCACCTCTCCACGTTCGGTTTCCTGCGTCTCCTCTGGCCCAGGGTCGTGGGAGGCCAAGGGGAGAGAGTCCATGCCTTGGACATGACGGTCCCTAAGTCCCCGAAGACGGAGGCATCATGGGCCATATAGTGGGGGCTGGGTGCTGGGAGTTGGGGGCTGGGAACTGGGAGTTGGGGGCTGAGGATTGGGGGCTGGGGGCTGGGGGTTGGGGCCCTGGGAGCTGGGGGCTGGGGGGCTGGGGATTGGTGGCTGGGGGGTTGTGGGCTGGGGGGCTGGGGGGTTGTGGGCTAGGGGCTGGAGGCTGGGGGTTGGGGGCTGGGGGCTGGGAGCTGGGGACTGGGGGGCTGGGAGCTGGGGGCTGGGGGACTGGGGACTAGGGGCTGGGGGTTAGGGGCTGGGGGCTGGGGGGCTGGGAGCTGGGGGCTGGGGGACTGGGGACTAGGGGCTGGGGGTTGGGGGCTGGGAGCTGGGGGTTGGGGGCTGGGGACTGGGGGTGAGGGCTGGGGGTTGAGGGCTGGGAGCTGGGGTTTGGGGGCTGGGGGCTAGGGACTATGGGGTGGGAGCTGGGGGCTGTGGACGGTGGGCTGGGGGGCTGGGGACTGGGAGCTGGGGGGCTGTGGGCTGGGACTATGGGGTGGGAGCTGGGGGGCTGTGGACGGTGGGCTGGGGTTTGGGGGCTGGGAGCTGGGGTTTGGGGGCTGGGGACTGGGCTGGGGGCTGGGGACTGTGGGCTGGGAGCTGGGGGTTGTGGGCTGGGGACTGTGGGCTGGGAGCTGGGGGTTGTGGGCTGGGGGGCTGGTGTAGACAACGGAGAAGAGGAGGTGTCCGCAGGCTTCCGTTCGGGGACGGGGCGGGTTTCCGTTCGCCGCCCCGTGCGGGCGGACTCGGCGGCGAGGTGCCGGGTCACCCCGCAGTCACAGACAGCTCGACCGCACCGGGGAGGCGGGCGCCATTACCCGCCTCCGGGGCCGCCCCCGCTGACCCGGAGGCTCTCAACGGCTCGAACGTTCACCGCTCTCGCGAGATTTCCCAAGATCCGGTCCGAGTGCCGCTTTTGTCTGTTGCCAAGGCAACCGGGCGGCGCCAGTGCCCGCGGGAAGGAGGCTTACAAATCCCCGCGCTAGCCCAGGGGACTTCAGGAGTAGCCATCCCCGAGCTCCCAGCCCTGGAGCCCACGGCCTCTGCCCCAGGCGGCGCCCCTGCCCCTGGGGGCCATGGGCCGGATCTCAGGGCTCGTGCCCTCGCGTTTCCTGACGCTCCTGGCGCACCTGGTGGTCGTCATCACCTTGTTCTGGTCCCGGGTAAGAGCTACGAGCACCCTCCTCCCTCCCTCATCCTCACTTCGGGTGCTCCCTGCCCACCCCCTCTCCTTCCCCCAGGACCGGACCCAGCCGGGGCCTCACGCCCCTGTTTTACTCTTCCTTCTCTTCGCCCCGCCTGCTCTGCAGGACAGCAACATCCAGGCGTGCCTGCCTCTCACCTTCACCACCGAGGAGTATAAGACGCAGGACATTCAGTGAGCACTCTGGGTGGGGTGGTCAGGATTAAGTGGCAGTAGGAGCGCAGGGGTCTTAGAAGAAGTTCAGGTGCCTGAGCCAACTCCCTTCCTCTCTGCAGGCTGGTGGCCGCGCTTGCTGTCACCCTGGGCCTCTTTGCAGTGGAGCTGGCCGGTTTCTTCTCAGGAGTTTCCATGTTCAACAGTACCCAGAGCCTCCTCTGTATCCTTTCTGCCTGCGCACCTTTCCCGCAGGGCCCATTCCCGCCACGTCCCCCCTCAGCCGCCTAACTAGCACTTTGGGGTACAATGGTGTCAGCCCTTGCAGGTAATAGAATCTCTCCAGTTGGGAGATCTTAAGTCAATGCAGATTTAATACAACCCGCAATCATTTGTCAAGCTCCTGCTATTGCACCAGGCAATGGAGATCCCAACATGAGATGAAGCACAGTTTTCTACCTTGAAGAGGAGACAGACCCTATAGTTCAATGTGATAAGCACTGTGCCGTAGGAGTGTGTGAAGATATAAAGCACTATGGGAAGGCGGAAGAGACAGAGGAAGTGAGGAAGTGGATCAGGGAAAGCTCTAGAGAATTGAATTGTGGGCCAAGAGGAACAGGGCGCTGGTGGGTGACTCCAGCAGAATGTATCAGTCACCGTGAGCATTCTTGTGTGGCCTGGGGTAGAGGGGGAGCCTACTCCTATCTCATCTGGAGAGTCCAGGCTGGCCCCTAGACATGGAATGGGGGACCCTGGAGGCCCAGCTGTGCAAGCTCAGTTCTGGTCTCTTAAGGCAGGCCTGCTGGCTCTGGCCTTGGCAATTGTTGGGGGAGCAAGAAGTGAACCTGAGAGAAAAGGCCTTTTCTGGCCTCTCACTACCTGTTGATTCAAAGGTTTTCCTTGACTCGGGTGCGTTACCAAGCCATCGGGGCTCACTGTAGTGCATCGGTGGCCCTTTCCTTTTTCATATTTGAGCGCTGGGAGTGCACCACGTACTGGTACATTTTCGTCTTCTGCAGGTACCGTAACATTCCATGTGTGGGGGTGGGGGAAGGTTTACCCCACATGTGAGATACCAGATCCACTCAAGCTCCTGCAGTCTTTGGAAGCCCTGCCCCACCTATACTTTGAGGAGGGGGTGTCTGGTTTGGGGTTTTTTATTGGAAAGGGCCCTAAACCTACCACCACCTTCCCACAGTGCCCTCCCAGCAGTCACTGAAATAGCCTTATTCATCAGCGTCTTTGGGCTGAAAAAGAAACCCTTCTGATTACCTTCATGAGCGCATGAAGAAAGGCTGGAGGAGCATTCACCGTTCCTGGAAGAAGGAAGCGCGCCCGCCCCCCCACCCCCCCCACCCCAACGGCTCCATTTGGTGGAGAATTTTAGTGTTAGAGTAATTAACTGTCGAGTCTGGAATTTCTTAGTGCTTTAATTAGAGCTTTGTAATGAAATCCTATTTTAGAGTAACATAAAAACCTATACAAATTTCAGGGGAGAATTGGGGTAGCCTACGGAAGGCTATTTGCCAGCCTCGCAGACTGTAAGATAATATGTTCCGCTTTTATCTCGGTTATTACGGTAAATGTCTGGCGGAAGGAGTGGGCGGAGATATGTAAATAAGTGGTGCTAACGGCCAAGCCTGCAAGCTCGCGAGTGGAGCATTCTGGGAGGGATTAGTGTATTCCTTTTTGTTGTCAAATTGGAAAAGAAACATATTTTGAAAGACCTGGAAATAAATGTAGCAACAGAAAAGGAAGAATCTGGATAATTTTAGCACTCGGGCTAACGTGTTATTTACTCACCCTATCTTGTCGTGGGATCCTTTTCATGGACTTCGGAATACTCCGTTAGAGTGTTTATCGTCAGGTAGGATAATCCTTACCTGTCCCTCCTTCGGGAGGGCAGATTGAACATGATGATTGGAGACCGCATGATTCGTGATTAACGTCTCTGCGTGATCAGGACTTGCAACACCCTGATTGCTCCTAATCTGATTCTCCTGACGATCTCTCTCCTCCTTTGGTCTCTCTAAGTTTAAAGTTTTCATTATCAGCATTTCAAAGGAAAGGGTTTTGAAAACTTGAGCTACCAAGAAATCGTTTTGTGTTTCATACCCGTTCCTGTTGGTCATCTCTGGTGCCACAGATGGTCTATTGCCGCCCTAACTGCAAGAAAAGCCACCAGTTCCATAGCGATTTTCCTGGTGGTTGGAGCTCCCACCCAGAAACCTGGCAGACTTGTTCGCAGGGAGCAAATCCCACTCTGCATGTCAGCACATGGCAAGAACATGTTCAAAAGGTTATTAAAACACATATACCGATTAGGTATTATACATACAAACTACAAAAGAAAAAGTTCTAACTTGTCACAGGATAGATGCTTCCTGGTATAGTGTATGTTGGGAAGACAGAACCAGGGCATTCTAAATAACCCAAAGGCATCCTAAAAGATGCTTTCTGGTGTTGCCTCACACACACATAACCATTCCCTGTCCATATTTTCTTCCCCTGTCAGCCCTTCCTCTTGAGCATTCAGTCAGTGAACACTTATTGAGCACTTACTCTATGCAGTGCACTGTAATGGATACTCCTGAGGGAATCCATGTGAATATGACCCATACTCAGCCTCAGCCATCACAGCTATTATGACTAATAGAGACAGAAAAGAAAAAAATATCCCATACTTCCAGAGTCATTTAACAGCAATTAGTTGTAAGTGCTACAAAGTAAACTTACTCTTACTATGGAATAGGAATCGATTTGCCCAAAGTAGCAGGTGCTGCTTCTATAGCAGCCTTTTGAGTGAGGCCCTGGCTGGAGCAGAGAGGGAGGGGAGCATATTGTGAGGAAAGGTGGACATTGGTCAGGGAAGTCATATCCCACTGCAGTCTGGCTTTCATCCTCACCCAGGGGTGTGTTCTACTATTGATAATTTGTGAAAGATAACTTTTTGTTTACATTGTGAACCAGTTGTTAAATGCTACTTTATAAAACATTAAATTATAGCCTGGCCAGTGTGGTTCAGTGGTAGAGCATCAACTCAAAAACCAATCACTGGTTTGATTCCCAGTCAAGACTAGGTTTTGGGCTCTATCCCAGTAGGTAGAGTAGTTAAATGTAACACAGTGATTCTCTCTCATCATTGATGTTTCTCTCTCTCCCTCTCCCCTCCTCTCTGAAATCAATAAAAAATATATATTTAAAAACAGATGATACTCAAAATTCAATACTTTATTTTACATTTTACTATCTACTCTTTAAATTTTTTAGAGAGAGAGGAAGGGGGCGGTAGAAGAGAGAGCTATCGATTTGTTGTTCCAAGATGTATTCATTGGTTGCTTCTTCTTCCTTATTGTTGAAAGTATTATGTCTCCTTTTTTGCTCATTGACCTCTCCCTGGCCACTCCCACCCCCAGCACATGCCCTCACCCCCTACCGTCCGTGTCCGTTGGTGATGCTTATATGCATGCATACGTCCTTAGGTTGACCTCTTCCTCCTCTCTCTTCCCCTGCCCTGCCTTCCCTCTGAGGTCTGATGGGGTTGCTTCTTGTTTGTGACCTGAATGGGACCAACCTGAAACCTTGGCATATCAGGATGATGCTCTAACTGAGCAACCAGGCCAGGGCCACAATTATACACTCTTAAGGTTATTTACATTTATGTATCTGCATGGTAGAGATACTATATAATGTTTTACTACTGTGTTTCTCTTCTCTATTTATTTAGTAACATCTGATTGACAGTTTGAAATTGAGCCCTGGCCAGGTTGCTCAGTTGGTTAGAGCATGATCCTCCTGATATGCCAAGGTTTCAGGTTCTAGTCAGGGCACATACAAGAAGCAACCAATGAATGCACAAATAAGTGGAACAAAGCTCTCTCTCTCCTCTTTCCTCTCTCCTCTCTCCTCTCTCCTCTCTCTCTCTCTCTCCCTCCCTCTCTCTCCTATCTCCTCTCTTCTCTCTCCTCTCTCCTCTCTCCTCTCTTTCTCTCTCTCCCTCTCTCTCCCTCTCCTATATCCTCTCTCCTCTCTCCTCTCTCTTTCTCTCCTCTCTCTCCTCTCTCTCTCTCCAACAAGAAAGAAAGTGAGGAAGAAATATATAAATTGACCTTGGTGGGAATATTTATACCACAGAAATTGGCAAATGCAACATAACAATTGTTGATTGTGTAGATTTAAGAAAGCAATGGAGAAATGTTAATGCAGATTCTAGTTAGAAGTGTCTGTAACTGTTGCATTGTGAATAATACAAAAAATTGAGGCAATATTCTTCCAGGATTTGTAAATTATTATCAGATTTGTCCAGTGTTTTCTCATGTTTAGATTGAGATCATGCATTTTGGACAAGAATACCAAAGAAGTCACTTAAAGTCACTGAGGAACCAGAATTTTCAACATATCTTCATTGTTTCACTTTTTATCTTACTTGAAAATGTAAATAAAAATATCAAACAATATTCAGGTTGAAACTACATAAATGGATACAACTCCATTTATGAAATCATGGATATAAAAGTGGAATATTGAATAAAAAATTTGTATATTTTATTATTTGTGCATTCTGTTACATATCTGTTATATCAGTGAAGTTTATAATAAAATTATGTACATCCATAAATGGACACTTTTTTGGAACGTTGGTTATTAACATTGGCCAGCACACTCCTGCCCCTACCATCCCAAGAAACTACTCACCATTAATTAGCCCTGTGTCTAAAACCAGAGGTCACTTGTCAGACTTTTTTTTTTTTTTAATTTTCTTTTTTTTTTTTAATATTTTATTGATTTTTTACAGAGAGGAAGGGAGAGAGATAGAGAGCTAGAAACGTCGATGAGAGAGAAACATCGACCAGTTGCCTCTTGCACACTCCCTACCAGGGATGTGCCCGCAACCAATGTACATGCCCTTGACCGGAATCGAACCTGGGACCTTTCAGTCCGCAGACCGACGCTCTACCAATGAGCCAAACCGGCTTCGGCCAGACTTTATTTTTTAAGTATATTTTTATTGATTTCAGAGAGGGAGAGAGGGAGAGAAATATTTACGATGAGAGAGAAATGTTGATCAACTGCCTCCTGCACGTCTCCTACTGGGGATGGAGTCTGTGCCCTGACATGATGGGGAATGGAACTATGACCTCCTGGTCAACACTGAACCACTGAGCCATATGGGCCGGCCACTTAGACTTTAGCTTGATCTCTTTTCAGCATATAATATGTTGACTACTCTTCTTTTTTGAAAAAATGTTCTCTCTTGGCTTCTGAAAATTGATTCACCTGGTTTACTTCCTACTGTTCTGGTCGCTCCTCAGACTCATCCAGTAAACACTGATTGAGGACCAGCAGTCTGTCAGTCCCTGAGACATAATACTGGTTTGAGTTGGTCCGAAGGTTGTGGGTTATTGTTAAGCTGATTAACATAATACTGGTTTGTCTCCTCTGCTTGTCCCTTAAATGTTGGTGGTCACTACTCCTTGGTTGACTTCACCTGCCTCTCGTCTTCAAACACCAACCAGATGTTGCAGGTTTCCAAGTCTTGGCTCTCTTATGGAGCTCTAGCCCAGGGCAAAAGCTATGGGAGCAAGCTGAGGGTTCAGAGTGCACCCCCTACCCTTCTTGGTGGTGAGATCAGCAACAGGGAGGTCATTTAGGCTCTCCGTGCCTCAGTTCCCTCATCCACACTCCACGCTCCAGAAGTAGCTACTACAAGCGCTTCAACTATTTGTTTCTTAGTCAACACCAGAAGCTCTGCCAATTAGCATCAGAAACAGGTTTCTGCCATGCTGGCTCAGTGGTTGGGCATTGACCTGTGGACCAAGAGGTCATGTTCGATTCCCAGTCAGGGCATATACTGGGTTGCAGGCTTGGGGGTGTGTGCAGAAGGCAACCAGTTGATGATTCTCTTTCATCATTGACATTTCTCTCTCTCCCTCCCCCTTCCTCTCTGAAATCAATAAAAATATTTTGAAAAAGAAATAGGTTTCCACTTTATTGTGAAATTAGTGGCTTGTTAATCAGAATAAAGCAATCACAAAAAATAAATACTTCATGGTTGCACTTTCATGTGATACCCAGAGCAGTCAAATTCAGAGACAGAAAGTGGAATGGTGGTTGCCAGGGGCTAGAAGAAAGAGGAGAGGAGGTATCACATTCAGTTTTGCAAGATGAAAAGAGTTCTGGAGATTGGTTACACAATAATGTGAATGTATTTAACATTACTGCACTGTACACTAAAAATATAGTTACGATGGGTAAATTTTGTTATATATTTTTATCTCAATTTTGAAAAATAGGTAATTGAAAAATAAAAATATCAGTGGTAAAAAGTGGGATAAGTCAAAAGAACAACTGAGTAACCATCTGGAGGAATTTATGGATCAATACCTTACACAAATATTACAGGTAAATGATTATATGTCCAGCTGGTGTGGCCCAGTGGGTGAGCGTCAACTTATGAACTAGGAGGTCATGGTTTGATTCCCCATCAGGGTGGTTTCAGACTTGCCCCCTAGTAAGGGGCATGCAGGAAGCAGCTGGCAGCTGATCAAAGCTTCTTTCTCATCATTGATGTTTCTATCTCTCCCTCCCCCGCTTGAAGGAAAGAAAGAAACAGAAAAAGAAAAAAGAAGAGAGAGCCAAAACTGGTTTGGCTCAGTGGTAGAGTGTGGTCTGCGGTCTGAAGGGTCCCAGGTTCGATTCCGGTCAAGGGCATGTACATTGGTTGCGGGCACATCCCGGTAGGGGGTGAGCAAGAGGCAGCTGGTTGATGTTTCTCTCTCATTGATGTTTCTAGCTCTCTATCTCCCTTCATCTCTGTAAAATATCAATAAAATATATTTTAAAAAGGAAAAAGAAGAGAGAAAGAGAAGAGAGAAAGAAATAATTACATTGTAGCCCAAGCCAGTGACTCGGTTGGTTGAGTATTATCCCTAATACATCCAGAGGTCACCTGGCATATGCCTGTGTTGCAGCCTCAATTTCCCCACCAATCTCTCTC